TGCTGGACTTACTTGGCCGTTTCTGAACTTGAGGCTTACCTGAGGTCAGTAATGCCGGGTTCTGATTCTGATGCGTCGCAACAACTCAGGATCGCTAAATCGGCCAAACTGCCCCCAAATCCAGTTCGAGAAAAGTTGTCTGATGTGTGCACTAAGCGTGTTCCAATGAGGGCGTTATAAGAGACCGTTGAACCAGGCCGTTTGTAAGGACTACTCCAACTTAAGACCTTGTTGGGGACTTTCAAGGCGGGGACTTATTGGGAACTGTTTCAATTTAGATTCTCATCATGGCCGTTGATGCTCGGAACTTTACATTGTGCCCAAAAATGCTTTTGGGTGGTCTGTTGGGCGCACAAAGAGAGAGTTAACTGTACGCGCAACAAGCAATTCATAACCTCAGACAGCTGGGAATGTCAGCGCCTCAGGGGCGATGTGCTCGCCTACCTCAAACGACAGGGTGAAGTCCACGGTCTTAGTGGCAACACCCAGTGAGATACTTGTTCAGCTCTTGGGCACACGGGTTTGTGTGCGTTTTATGGGTCTGTGGCTTGCAAGTGATTCTGAAGGCTGTCGGACCTCCATGGGGAAGAACGTCTGAAGGTCCCATTGCCGGTAGTTGTCGCCCAGGCTTCGGATAGCCTGCCCATTGCTGCTAAAAGGAAAACAGTCCAAGCTAGTCTCACCGAGCACTGGGAGTTGCAACAAGCCCGGCCTTATAGCCATCCAATCCAATACAGCGAAGCCCGGGTATTGTGTTCCTGATCTGCTTGTAGCTTTGGGCTGGGGATTCTGCTTTGCAAGCTGGGTGTTGGTTTTGATCGAGTATCCATTTTACATTTCCAACGTCACGCTTCCCGCATTGAAGCCCTCACAAACTGAACCCGTCAACCACCAAATCCCGGCTCCACGGAGACCCCCAGAGCCAAACTGCAAGAAGTGCGATCTAGGGTCAGGCTGTAGGACAACTGTCCATTGCCGCATCCCAGCTCCAAAGCTGTAACATTGCGGCCTAGTCTCCAGACCTGTACGCTAACGCCACTGCGAAGGAACGCGTTGTTACAGGGGTTCTTTTGACAAAGCATGCTTGATGCCCACCCCCAAGAAATCTCACGGTTTCCAGCAAGCGGCGTCAAATACTTGATGGAAGTTTGAAATCTGTGTCGACTTGGGGGCTGATCTTGACGAAACAGTGAGCTTAGGCAGCTCAAAAAACAAAACCCATCAGTTCATGCGCTGAGTCTTTCGCAAGGCAAGTCTAAGAATATGGATAGTTGGAGGCAAAAACAAAGAAAAAAGAGAAGTGTAGCAGTCACTTAGACAGATAGACACGTACACCCACCCACGTAGAATTCCATTATAGTGGCTGTTGAGCACCCTGAGCGGACCTCCGCAGCTAAGAAGCTGCCGACGTTCATTTCACGGCGGTTGCGGCTACGTTGACCTTCCACCACGGCCTGGTGCAGTGTGAAATAATAGTCTGAGCGTCAATGTGATAGTGAAGGCCCGCCAAGAACCCAATATTCCACTCATTCGGAGTTGTCAGGGTGCGACCATGGCTGCGGTCAAGGGAGCGGGACTTCGGGGCAGCTTGCAATATGAGACCTCGCAAAACATCCCGATTCTCACACCCTGTGCCTCCTTTGAGAAGTAGCCTTGGTGCATCGGTGCGGCTGTGATTGGCTCATAGCCGTAATGCAACCTTAAGGCCAACGAGACGGCCCAAGGAAGGCATAACGATTGTGATGCCCGGTTTCAAGATTCCCTTGGTCAAGGGTGTATTTCATCACAGTCAACAAGCCACAGGCTTCCAAAAGCGGCCAAGCATCACTGAATTGACAGCTGTTGCGGCAATCCCGCAGCTGTACAGAAGCCAGGTCGGAATGTCCTGTTTCTTGCTACTGAATCAACCACTTGCTGAGAGCTGCTGACATCTGCGGCACTGCGAGTTAACACGTGAGATGCTAGTGCGAAGCTGGCCAAATGTGACAGCTAGCACTGTGGCAACGATGACAGCGACAATAGGTTTGCGATTCGAACTCGCCGGAGGCCGCCACATCACGTCACAACACTTGAGATGGTCCCTGGCAATGTAGAACGGGGTCATTAGTGCCCTTCATTGCTCGTAAAATTGCTCCCAAGACACCCGATAAGGAACTCTTGTTTGAATTCACAACGTGTCTCAAAGAGTATGCCTGAAGCTTGCGAGATAGAAGCGTTGCTTTCAAACGTGAGTCCTTGCCATTGTTGCTGAAAGCATCCTCAGCTGTTGTAAGGGAATCCAGTTTGCAGAAGCCGTGGCCAAGGATTCTGAACCGTAGGGCGAAGTTCTCACCCTCGCAAGATTTTAACTTAAGAGGCCACCATGTTGTAGAGGACCAAACTTTGTGAGGGCTTAGAGTTCAGATCTTGGTTTAGAGGACCACACAAATAGAAAGCAGTTCCAATCAATACAGCATCAAAGCCAAAGCAAACGAGCAGAAGCAGTGCGAAGAACGTGCAGCAGCGAATGTCGAACACCATTGCAAGGCCCCATCCGTAGTACTCCAAGGAAAGTTTTGGCAGGCTAGATCCGGAATTGCTGGGCTCGCAACTTCAGGGTGCGAGGGTTTGGGGTCCAGGGCTATGAAATGGCAACCGAGCTTGAAAGGACTCATTTGTCAGCAGTCTTCTGTGACGAACTACGGGCCGACACACAGGCTGATCGTGTCATGCTGAAGCGCAGCTGTGTGCTCGTGCAAGGGCTCTCTCATGGATTACACATTGCTGTTGAGCCGGAAGCTTTCCGAATTTCTGGCACAATTTGCAGTGAAGGAAACGGCACTAGAGCGTCCTAGAAGCCGGTCCAAATTTACGGAACTCTCTGGAGATCCCCCGCTCTTCAAATTCATGAAAAAAGCATACGCTGACAAGACCTTGTATTGCTTTTTAGCTCTCACCCAACATGATGGCGAATTGCCGCCATGCCGGAAGTCACGAGGACTGGCAATTTGTAAGAATTCTTGCGCTTGTCACTACCGGGGTATGCAAGAACTGTCTGAAAACAGTTCTCGCACGATTGCTGGTCTCACCTCACACCGAAGCTGTTGGCTCTATGCCTGCCATCCTCGTGAGCAATGAGGCTTTGGGAAACGCTGCCTCCTTCACAGCAGTGATACTCAGCATCAGCCAGCTTTGCTGGTGGATGCGCTTGCCAAGCTACCCAGGATGAATTGGGCGGTAAACACCTGAAAACTGGGTCAGCAAGCTGCCTCCAGAACTGGGCAGGTTTTGCAGCCACTCTGTTGTAATGCAGGTTTCACTTTCTTGCAAAGCTTTTTAACGCTACCTGGAAATCCAAACGATCTCATCTCAGGTAAATGTAGCAATGTTGATGCTAGCTGCCCAAACCTGCGCCCGAGGCACCTCTGCATGTGTCCATGCGGGAATGAGGCATGGAAAGATGCATCGCGAATTTGGACTCTCTGACGAACGCTTGAGGAACAGGATGCTCCAACATGAATATGATTTTGCTCGAAGCTCCAGTACTCCACTGCACAGCGCAGCTACGAAAGCCAGCAACCTTGGGTTCTGCTTACTCATGCTTGCTTTGAACAACAGCGGAAAACAGAAATCAAACCATCTCAGAGTGAAGAGTCTTTCGACAGGGAATAGCGATGCCGGCGTAGCTGGATTTTTGCTCGACATCTTTGTGCGCAAGAATGCTGTTGAGACTACAGATTCAGAGAGCCCTAAAAATGCAATTGATGAAGCACTTCGGGTGAAACCATGGTAGAAAGCTTACACAACGAACCATGATCCCGAACAAAAACCTTCAAAAAACTCACTTAGGATCTGCTAGCCTGGCCACTACGTCGCTCGGGATTGCTTGGCACACGTGCCGCTGGCAATTCTTAAGGCTAGATCCTCACTGAATGATATTCAACATCTCATCGAAGGGGAACTTTGCACCTGCACCAGCCGACAGCTGTGCAAGATTGTGCAACTTTTGCGAGGTGGTCTCGAGAACTAACGTCAGCATCGTAATTGGTGAGTGACTAGCTAGATTCGCGACAGGAAGGATTCATGTGCTAAGTCGCTCCAGCGATGCTTGTTCATCGCTCTGGGTGCAGGACTGATGTCCTCTTCACTCGGTGAGTTCGGCCTAGGCCGGGGGCGCGAAAGGGGCATTGCAGTCGCTGTGACTCCCTAGAACCCAAAATTGAGCGTTGTCAATACCAGCCACCCAGCCACCGGACTTACACTGCTTTTTGGCCAAGGCTTTGCTCTTAGCCAAGGAGCGTCGACCTTGTGTCAACGACATCAGGGTTCCTCCAAGCCAGCTCATACGCACACATGTGTCTGGCACGATTGGAAAACAAGCTACTTCCAAACTTTGCTCCATGTCGCACATGGGTCATGCATGGGGCGGGAGTTGCATGGTGCATGCTGCGTGCAGCAACAACTCTTCATCCAACCCCTTGCCACTAGCCGCCTGACCAGGTGGGCGAATATGTGCCCCTCGAACGGTAGGCAGAATGATTCGATCTCAGAGCCTTGCAAGTCGAGATCAAGCAGGCCTGCTTTTGAGGGTGATAACTAGCAGTTGTGCAGCCCTAAACATGGCATGGTCCGGCTTGATTCAGGACGTGTACAGCACCGGTCTTTGGGGCTGGATGTAGAGTTCGGCTGCATTTTAATGATGCAGTTTGCCAAGCCCCTGACAGCCCAGACAGCCAGGAGTGCCCCATCCACTGGGACTTCGCTGCTCCTGGCCGGGCTGAACGTGCAGTTATGTTCCCTGACGCGAGTTGATAAGATGTCAGGGCATTTCTTTGATGTCAGAAAACTGTGGATTGATTGTGAAGGGAGGCGGCAGCGGAATGCATGCACGTGCACACTTGGCAGCATTTCGAGGTTCAAGGGGGCAGCTATGTGAACTCAGGATGGCACATATCGGTGCTGGGGTCAATCGATGTAGTTGACCAGCTGGAACATGCATGCGAGCTACCGCCCCGCCCTGCCTGGCATTCTGGGCAAATCCCCTTGCGATCTTCGCTCACCATAATCTTGGCCTGTTGGGCTGCTGCGCTCTGTCGCTTCAGGCCACAAAACAGCTGCAGAAAAGCGCTTGGCAACTCCCGACTGTTCTTTGCCAACAATTACAGATATGGCAGTGCAGTGTCCCTAAATTGCTGTTCCCAAAATGGGGG